AATTACGCTCCCTCTGAGCCGGAAGCCGCAGCCCTGTGAGGTACTCACTAACTCCCGGCCCCGGCTCCGCTCCTCTGCTGCAGGCGGCGCTGCGCGGTCCTGGCTCTCTGGGTGCTGGCGGCAGAAGCCCAGAGCCCCGGGACTGCCTCGGCCGCCGCCCGCATGGACGATTGGACGCCGGGCAGCGGAGGGGTGGGGCCGAGCAAAACCAGCCCTTCCTCCTTCCCCCTGTAAAACGCAAAGGCAGTGATAGGGAACGCGGATGTTCCTGCCCTTTGTGCCTCTGGAAGCTAGTCTTTCTCTCAGCTTGGCAGAAAGTGCTACTCAGCTCTCACTGCGAGGAGAGAAAACTTCCCTTCCTCTAGGGAACTAGCCCCAAGCTCCTGGCAGGGCATGGTCCTTCTTCCAGCCCGCGCGGGGCACGCTCGGCATCCTGCCCTCCCGGCGGGCAGCACCTTGCGCGTGGCTGGCATGCAGGTGCTGCTGAGAGGAGAGAGAGAGGGGCGATGGGAAAAGGAAGGTAAAACGCAATCCTGGGATGCTTTTCTTTTTCCTGTATATTTTTTAAAACCCAAGATCAGTCCAGCGGGGCGCCTCATCACTTGCCCTCCTCCTGACTGCTGGTGGAGACCTGCAGCCACCGGAGGCTGCTGCCCAAGGAGGCAATTTTGACCGGTTCAAAGCTGTTTCAATAGACATCAAGGTTTCTCAACCTTGGCATGACTGACATTTTGGACTAGATAATTCTGTCAACAGAAAAGAACCCAAACTCTGTCAAACAACTTAAAGAGGTTTATTCTGAGCAAATATGTGCGACATGGCCCAGAGAGCGATGCCCAAGAAGCCTCGCGCAAGTGGTTCCGCTGTGGTTGGGTTACAGTTTGGGTTTATACATTTTAGGGACACAGGTAAAGTCATTAATCAATACATGGATGGTGAACGTTGGTTTAGCCCAAAAAGGCAGGACATCCCAAAGCGGGGGTTACAGGTTATATATAGATGGGTTTAAAGATTCCTTGATTTGTAATTGGTTAAAGAAAATGAAGCTTTGTGTAAAGGCTTGGAATGGTTTAAGATAAGGATGTCTGTTAATCAGCAACAAGCCACCGGATAGATACCAAGACTTAAGTAAATTGATGACTTGCAGGTGTGGTTTAACCTTTGTTTCCAAGTGTATCTGGCCTCCCTTCTTCTCATGGCTGGCAACTTGGCTTTAAGGTTTTTCTGGGGTCCCCGTGGCCAAGAGGGGGCCCATTCAGTC